GATCCCAACTTTGTTCTTCTTTAACATTGTGTTGTCTATTCTAGGTCTTTTGCCTTTCTGTAAAAACATTAGAAACATTTTCTTGATATCCACAGAATAACTTGCTGAGATTTTGATTGGGATTTTTTAAATTATATAAATCATTTTGGGAAAAACTGGCATCATAACCATATTTACTCTTCCATTTGATTAATATGAAAATAGCTCTTCTTTGATTTCTCCCATCAGAGTGCTATACTTTTTCTCATATAAATCTTCTATATATGTTATTAGATTTATCCCTAAGTGGTTCTTGGTGTTTTTTTTTTTTGGGGGGGGGAGGGTCTGATGCTACTATAAGTGTTTTTTGTTTTGAATTTTAGAAACTAAATGTTCATTGCTGATATAAATGATAGTCAATGATTTTTGTATAATAACCCTGTAACCTATTATTTTACTACTAGTGGCCTGGTGCACAAAATTCGTGCATCGGGGGAGGGGTGTCCCTCAGCCTAGCCTGCACCCACTTCAATCTGGGACCCCTCGGGGGATGTCCAACTCGCAATCGGACATCCCTCTCGCAATCTGGGACTGCTGGCTCCTAACTGCTCACTTATCTGCCTGCCTCATCACCCCTAACCACTCTGCCTGCTGGCCTGCTCAGCCCCCACCTATTTTACTATAGTTGCACATTAAGTCCAAAAGTTTGTTTATTGACTCCTTGGGAATTTCTATGTAGAAATCATGTTATCTTCAAAGACAGTTTTATTTCTTCCATCCCAGTTTGTATACCTTTCATTTTCCTTTTGTCTTATTGCATTAGCCAGGAATTCTAGTATGATATTGATAGGACTAGTGAGAGGGAACATCCTTGCTTTGTTTCTGACCTTAGAGGAAAAGCATCTGCTTTCTCATTATTAAGTATAATTGTGACTAAATGTGATGCTAGCTATAGGCTTTTTGTAGGTGTTCTTCATCAAGCTGAGGAAGTTCCCCTCTGATCCTAATTTTCTGAGAGTCTCTATCATGAGTGGGTGTTGGATTTTGCTTTTCTTACATCTCTTGATATGATCTCAGAAGCACAGACTTACATAGCCAAGGCAGAAAGTACTGCAATAAGTTTGCAAGTCTGAGAATCCAGCATCTAGAGATTGCTTGTGAGGAAGAATTGGCAGAATAATAATGTGGAGGATAGTACAATGAAAGGGTTAAGATGTGTTTCAGAAAAGTTCTGGAAGAGAAGCCTAACAACCCAGGTTGTTGGCATTCCAATGAACTATCTCCCCAACCCTAACAACTGGGCCATGGAGCTGAGTCCTGAAAACTGGTGTGCTAGAGTTATCTTTGTTAAGAAACTTCAAAACGTTTATGAAAAAGCTGAAGGAGGGAGGTTAAGAAGCCATAGGGAATACTATGGACAACAGATCATGTTTTTTTTCTTAAAATTTGTCTTTATTCAAAGTATTACAGATGTCCCATTCTACACACACGCACACCCTCGCCCCATTGACCTCCTCCACTCTGCTCCAGTCCCCTTCCCAGGCCTTCCCCAAACTACTGTCGTCCTTGGTCTATGCATATATCCATATAAATTCATTGGTTAATCTCCCTTCCCTTCCCCCCCAAATACGCCAGTCTGTTGCAGATCATGCTTTTTAATAAATGGGCTGCCTGCACTCTCTACTGCCATCATCTGTAGCAACTTCTACCGGGAGTAATATGAAGTCTTTAGACACAAGAACACAGATTGTTTAAGTGGTTTTTATTGGAGGGAATGGCAGAGAGAATGGCGTTACTAGTCTCCTGTTGAGCAGGGATACACATGTGTATTTCCCCATATATACCCAAGTTCACAGTGCCCAGAAAATGTGGGCAGTTGCTCAATGAACTGCATAGGATGTAAAAGCTGCACTCTCAAGAAACTGAGTTCTCCCAAGTTATCTGCTGTTTCCATCCAGGTGGGTGGAGCAAGCCAAGCACCTCACAGTGCTGGCCTTTATCTAAAGCTATGCTGTTCGTTCCCATAGCCACTACATAGGTATTTAAATTAATTAAAATAAAATCTAGAAATGAATTCTTCAGACCCACTAGTTTCATTACAGGTATCCAATAGTAACCTGGGGTTGGCGGCTACCACCTTGGACAGCACAGATTTAGAACATTTCCATCCCTGCAGAAAGTTCTTTCAGAAGAAATTAGTGTTCCTCAGTCTTGGCGCCATTGCCATTTGGGGCCAGATAACTCTTTGTGGTGGGGGCTGTCCTGTGCATTGTCAGATGTTCAGCAGCAGGCCTGGCCTCTGCCACTAGATATCCTTCGCATCCCCATCTCCACTTGTGACCATCAAAAATGCCTCCAGGCATTGTCAAAGGGTGGGGGGGGGGCACCTCCTGTTGAGAATCACTCTTCTAGAGCAATCACCACTCCTGACAGAGATTGGTCACGCCCCCCACCCCCAGGAGATAGACCCCCAATACAGAAAGACTGGCTGAGCTGGAGGCTAAGGGTACCAATGAAAGACAGCCCCCCTACATGTTACTCCATGGCCACTCAGGATCTCAACATGGCCTCAGCCTATGGTCTGTTACAGATAAGGGATCTTACCTGTAATCATGAAAATTCCGTTAGAACTGGAATACATGGGAGTCAGTCGGAAATGTAAATCACGGTGAGCCAAAGATAGCCACCAAGACCCCTGAGATGGTATGGAAATTACTGGTACTTTCAGAGCAGAGTAGTTCCTGGTGGCTGAGCATTTTCTCTATGGATGGTTGGCACACGTTTGCAAGCATGAGTAATCTCCAAAGCAAACACCAGACACTCTGTGTAGAGGTCAAAACACTTTGACCTACATTCCTTTATCATATTGTGTGAATTACTCAGGTGCACACAGGGACACCAGGCACAGAGAAATTAAGTTACTGACTCAGAGCCTCATAGAAAGATAGGTGCGTATAGAATGAGTCCCTGTCCACCCTGCATGGCATTTAAACCTGAAAAGGGCCTAGGAATCATCTAACAAAGTACCTCTCAAACTTTCATATACCAACAAATCACCTGAACATGGCGAAGACTCTAATTTAGTAGGTGCGTGGAGGGGGCTGGCATTCTGCATTTCTAATAAGCTTTAGTTGATGCTATTGCTACTGGTGCATAGACCACACTCTGAGCAGCAAAACTCTAGCTCAGTGATTTTACGCCATGATTACACAATAAAATTACCTTGGGGCCTTCTGTCTTTTTGTTGTTGTTGATTGTTCTAAATTACTGATAATTCTGATGCCTGGGCCTCACACCCAGAGGCTCTGATTCATTGAACTAGAAGATAGCTCAGGCATATAGAAGGTGTCCCCCCAAAAAAATGTATACATAATTTTTTTTTCCTGATAGCTCAATTGATGTTTCTTTCTTTTCAGATATAACCATTGCGTATACATTTTTTGGAGACACCCTGTATATATTTAAAGATTCACATGGGATTTCCTAGTTTGCAAACTATTGTCCAAGGCCAATCTATCTACTGCACTGATAAGGCAACTAATAGAGTTTCAATGAAATCCAATTCATCCAGCTTTTCAACCAAACACAGAGCTGGTCCTTGAATCCTGATATGGAACTCATACTTCAGTGCTTTAGTTTCATTGCTTCAGGTAGGAACCCTGTCTATTAGAAATTATTTTTCCCTCTCTAGTTTTCATTGCTCTTTTCTATTTGTAAACACACACACAGACACATTTACATACTTGTTATCTGTTTTCTCTCTCCTTAATGCTACTCTGTCCTGTGTGGTTCATGGGTCTGTTTATGCCAGATACACACTGTGCAGCATAGAATCAACTAATCACCAGAGTCCCACAGAACCAGGACTGCTGCCAAATCCACACAGGCGCACACATGCTTCACTGGGAAATATTTCTTGGCCACAGTTAGGTGGTGAAAAGGAAGGTCACTGTATGTCTTCTTCCCCTGAGTGGTCAACCACTCAGGTATGACTTTAAGAAAGAACAAACTCTGATCAGGACATCACCGCTGAGGCCTGGGGAAGGTGGCTTGGCAGTATGGGGAGTTTTGAAGTCAAGACTTGGGGAGAAATGAGAGGGTCATACTGAGCTGCCAACTGTATTTGCAAAGGCAGTAGTATGCCTGAGAATCCTCTGCTCACCTGGATTTATGGCTTTTCTCTCTCCCATTGTTTTCAAAAGGGAATGTTACATAGTCTGTTTGTGATTAGATTACAGTTGTATATTGTGAGTCAGGATGGTAAGATTTATACAAAAATTGCTATCCATTGAGATAAAAAAAAATTCATCAGGGTTCCCTCTGGGATCTTTCCTTGGGACGAACGGGTGGAAGATATGTTGAGTATGGAATATAAGGTAATTGGTTGAAGACACAGATGTAATATAGCTACATAGGATGTGAGGATGACCTTTTCAAGTATTAGAGAAATTTATTTCTCTCATGTTCTTGGAAG